AAAAAAAAAAAAAAAAAAAAAAAAAAAATATGTATATATATATACGTATATGAATGCATGTATATGTATATAAAAATAGAAAAAAGATTTTCGAGTTAACAAATTTCACTTTTTCACTCTTAACAACGCTCTTCTTAAATATTTACATTTTTATATTTTGTTTGCAAAGTAATGTTTTTCTTATTTTTGTTTATTGTCATTTTAGTTTTATTTGTAATATTTACTAAAATTTATTTACTTATTTACTTAGTTATTATGCACACTACTCCACAAGCAAAACCTATAAAAGTCTTGCTATTACTTTTCATCAGACTCTGCAATTTGTGAACATGTATGTTCGCTGGTCTTCCTCAAAGGATTGAGAAAACGAAAAATTTAAATTTATTCGCCCTCAAAAGAAAGCGCAAAAAAGTTTCTTACCATCCAATAAGCAAATAGCGTCTAAGAAAAAAAATATGCTAGATTTGTTTGTCGATTCTGAACGTAATCGGAGAGAAAGGTTTACTTAAGATTTCGATTACTTAGGAGAAATTTCTCTCTTCTTCAGAGGAAAAACGAAAGCGGTCTTCAAAATTGTCAAGACTTTATCCTCGGAACCCTTAAATGTTTTGATGCTTGGCTCGCAGCAGCTCGGGCTGATCTTCCTGTAAGTACTGACTGACGCGAATCTAATTTATACGTCTGCACAAAGTGTAGGAATTGTATTGGTAGGATTGGAAGAAAGCAACTTGTATTAAGAACAGCTACTATCAAGTGCTGCAATAAACTAATAGCCGTACAGCCGACAGTAAAATTTTCGATTGCAACATGTAAACGTATTAAAAGGGAGTTGGGGTGGCATGTGGCTCGTCTCTTATTCTAATTATTTGCGAAATAAAGCAGTGTATGGAAAGCATTGGGCCAAAGTAGCCCTGTGTAGCAAATTTCATCAAAATGTTGCAAACAATGCTACCTGTGGGTTAAACACAAGAAAAGAAGACGGACAGACAAGTTTTAAAAAATGATTTAGAATCAATTCCTGAATCGAGCGGTATAATAGTTCTTGTGTGTGTTGTACACAAACACCCAAACAAACTTACAAAAAAAAAAAAAAAAAAAAAAAAAAAAAAAAAATGCAAAACCACTATAGCGGGATAGGGCCCACCATTAAATACCCGGCATCGTCTCGTTTGACACAGCCAACCATGTAACGACTTTTCAGAATAACACTTGGTATGGCAAGCGATCAAATAAGTGATTCGACCATTTTCAATAGCACACGTCCTTGGGCCAAGACTTTCATCAAAATATTCCAAAAAAAGCAAGACGGATAGACAAGCTGATAGTTCGATTTCAAAAAAAGGCGTTATATAGGAAATGGTGTGAAAAGACGTCCAATCCGGACGATATCTAAAAACTTGCATAGAAAGACAGACGGGCAAACAAACAACAATAAAAGATGGGTGTGGCAAATATCCTCACAAACTTAATATACCCTTGTACCGCAAGTGATGTGGGTTATAAAGAGATTAATATTTCGCTTCGAATATTAAAAGTTAAAAATTGAAGTCCGCCAAAAAAGAGAGGGCTTCGTTGTGAGCACTTCTTCTTTAGAGAAGGGAAAAAATAAGTCATACTAAAGACTATACTAACTGAGGGGAAAGTACCCCACAATTATTATTATCAATAAAAAGGCCATTATGAGGCTATTGGAGGCGGTAAACTGTTGAATCATTCGACTAGGGAAGAAAAAAATTGATAACCACGCTCTTCGTTTTTAAAGAAAGGCCCAGTTGCTGAAGATTTCAGTTTCAGAGGGCTTCTAATTAACTTTAAATAGGTAACTGGTCTAAGGAAATGTTTAAGGGGCTCTTCTTTTTCTGTTTTTTAAAGAGTTCCTAGAAACTTCTTCCGGTTTAAGGTTTCTTTTATATCCATAGGGTCATAATTATTGCATATCAAGTGTCAATCCAAAATATTTATTTGCTTTCTGTTTTTTTATTGTTCTGTTTTAAATTTATTTAATTTTTTTTTTTTTTCGTTAATAACTAATAATAAACTTAGACTTTAATTAACGACGTTTTCTTTTTGTTCTTTATTCTATATTTAGCTTAATATGTGCTCTTTATTTGTTTACTTTCTTTATTTATTTAATGATTAATAATTTATATTTTTTAATTTAATTATTTTAAAACTTTTTGACTTTATTAATAGTAAATCTCATTATTGTCTAATATCTTACATATTGAAGGTTATGATTAAAATATTTGTGTTTGTTGTTGTTTTTGTTTATTTACGATTTTTTGTTTCTTTCTTGTTTATTGATATGTATTTATTTTCCTTTAATAATATTCATATGAAACAATGTGTTTGTTTTTTTTTATTTTACTCTATAACACGTTCTTTTTCATCACACACTTCGTTAACACTATCATGCAGATACAAGTTTGGTTTCTTTGGTTTGTTGTATTATTTTTTTTTCTTTTTGTTTTTTTTTTACTTTTGAATTTGTAACAACTTTAAAGCACGTTCACTACCGTCCATTAAACGATTATAGACGCGTTAAGCGGTGCACTTTTTTTTTTTTCTTGAGTAACTTTTTATCACAAACATTTAACAAGACTAAATTGTTAAGCATATTAGTTTTGGCCAATAACCAAATAAAAATCTGTGCTACTAAAAGCCGAACGCGTTTGCGTATCTCACTCTATTTTAAGTAAAACGTTTAATATACACAAACAGCGTTGCCATCTTAAATACATTAAATAAGATTTGAGCTCCGAAATATTCTCTGCCCCTCTCTCTCTCTCTCTCTCTCTCACTCACTGTAACAAAATGATCTCTCTTAACTTTACGATCAACTCTTGCGTATGAAAACTGTTACAAACTTTGTTTTTTTTTATTGTAAATAATGTTTGTTGTTGTTATTTTTGTATGGACTTTAATTTATCTCAAGGCGGTCTTAATTTTGTATTCTTTTAAACTTTATTACCTCAAGATTCTAATAACAGATTTCAAAAAATAAAATAAAGTAAAAGCACTATAGTGGGTCACCGGTCATTATTAAATACCCTACATCACCTTATATATAGATATTCATGTAACGGTTTTTTAAAATGCAAGGTTATAAGGGAATTGGTCGAAAGGGTCACCCGATTGAAACCATTTTAAATAGGGTTCGTCCGTGGACCACAAAATGTTAGTGTATCAAATTTCAACAAAACTACGTCAAAAACTATGGTTTATAGGTTAAATCCAAAAAACAAAACAGACAGACGGACAGAGAAGCCTAAATCCATTTAAATGGATATAACAAGTTGATATATCCAACGACCTTCTGGATGCGGCATAAATCCACACAAACTTAGCACACCGTTGTACTACAAATGATGTAAGGTATAATTGGAAAAAAATCCAAAAATCAAATTTAAGCTTATGTTGCTCAGATCATCGATTGCATGATCTTTGCAAATCTCTTGTAAATTCAAGTTTATTTTGCATAATATCAATACTTTTCATTGTAAATGTATTGATATTAGACAAAGATGTTGCTAATCTTGTGAAAAAAAATAACCTTGACCTCTACTATCCTAATACAGTCAACTGGTGCCAATGCAGAGTACTGCATTCAAACCAGTAAGTGCTTTGAAATATTGAAATAATATAAAGAAGAAGAAGAAGATGATTAAATTTTTTTTTCTAGGAAAGTTGCCGGGAAAGCAGTGTCTGAATTAGCATGATCCTGTTGAACTCTTGAGCTTGAAAGAAATGGTCATTAAATACATGAAAGTCCAATATATTTTTGATGACTTTTATTTGTATGAAAAGTCTTTTAAATATCCATAATCAGTTTTTCTCTACCGGATCTAGTCTTCAAAATAACGCTGGCATACTCCCATTTCTGTCATTATGGCTAATTTTCACCCTTACCTTTGGTGGAACAGCTACAGTAACAAAAACAAGTGAGACCATTATAGTTGAGCAAGCCCGACAGTTAGATATCCTACACACTTTGCCCAATACAAATATTCACTTGATTAGATTAGACTTTCTCTCTCCCTCGCTCTTATAAGAACTTGCTTTTTGTGATAACGCCTATATATGTTAGGGCCCAACAACATAAACCAATGTGATCCAAATTTCCTACCGTCAATTTTTTTGCTTAATCGCTGCTATGTATTAATTTTCATTACAAAATATTAAAAATTAAGACGTTTACTGAAGGGCTTACTTTTCACAGGTTATCTTACGTGTAGTGGGGCCAAGAAATAGACTCATGTGGTTCAAGTTAGGTCCACTTAATTCTTATAGTAAATTAATATCATGAACAAAGTTTCATAATAAAGAAATTAACAATCCGAACTTTTTGGCGTACAAGTGTTTACGATATTGGGTGATGCGGTATTCAAAAAATATACCTACCTGCTCCAAATTAGGTAACGTTGATTTCTTTGTCTATTTATTAACATGAGTCAATTTTCACAATAAAATATTCAAATTGCAACATTTTGACGAAGAAAGAGTCAGATTCCTTATAAACGATTATATGATAGGGGGTTCAAAAAACTGACCTAGCCTGCCCAAAGCTTTCATATCAGTTTAGAATGCCAAAATACTATTACTTAATCACGTTTGCTGAGAAATTTTGAAAATTGAAATTATTTTCCGTACAACGCCTTCTCAGAATAGGGCGTTACACGGGCAGGGATCGAAAAAGTGAACCGGTATGAACCATTTTCAACAGCGTTCGTGCTTGTGCCAAAATACGACAGTGTACCAAATCTCATCAAATTTTTGAAAATTGTCTCAGTTTCTATCTTATTGTCAGCGAATACAATTTCAATAGAATACAATTTTTTTACAGTCTGTACCACTTCTTCTACATGGTATATTTAATTAATGCAAAGAGAGACCCACCAAAAGAAACACTTCGCAGAACAGCACTTCATACTAAAGTGCATTCTAGATTGCAAAATTCTTTTCAAAGGAAAACATCTTTAGAATAAAATAAAAAGCATTAAAAAATAAAATAATGTTTCAACTAAAAAGCTTTGTAACGGTTGACGATCTACAAACTTTGCATATTAGCTTACAATACAATATTTCTCTCTCTCTCTCTTTTTCTCTGTTGTTCTCTCTCTCGGTTTGCTTCTTCTTGTTTTACTATTGAACAAGCCTGGCTTATCCAACATTTACTGCCATTGCTGTGCAACATACCCGTTTTTATTATGTGTGTTGAATTCGTTTCTATAGCGAAACTCTCACTTGTTTTGTTTAATTAACTTCATAGAGCTTCATATAGAAAGAGAGACTTATCTGTATAGTTAGTTGTCGATTAATTAATTTGTTTATATTATTTTCAATTCAATATAAAGCTTAAAGAAAAACGTAATAAAAGAAAATCTTAACCTACAGATAATATTTAAAAGAAAAAAAACAAGGTACGAACTTTGAAAAGATTTTCGAAACGAAGAGTGACAACAAGTTGATAATAAAAAAATTTTTTTAAGAAAATTAAGGGCGTGTACTTAAGGGAAATGTTAAATATGAAAAAAAAAAAAAAATATATATATATATATATATATATAATTTTCCTTTTTCCCATGTTTAGTGTGAAATGGTGGTTTTAAGCTCCTGTTGGTCACCAATAATTTGGTCAAATAATGTGAAGACTGGTAGCTATGCTGTCGCTGTCTATACGGCCGCTCTATCAATAATATTCATAACATTGGTACGTTTCTTTCCTGAGGTGAAAAAACTTTTCATTCCATTTTTTTTTTTCTTTAACTTGTGTAGATTTCGTATATGTTGGCTGGTGGGGAATCATGTCAATTATATTCGCCTTTATTTGAAACTGATATTCGTACCTCTATGCCTATAGTGGGTGGTATTTTTATAACCTACTTCCTATTGGTTATTGCAGCATCTATTTTGGTTTATCATGGTATTAAAATAAGGTAAAATTTGTTAATTATAATTAAAATAAAAATCTCAATTTTTTTATTTTTTTTTTATGTATTTTAAATTGATTTTATTCTAGCACGCGTGGCTTCTTATTACCTTGGCTAATCCTAGTGGGTCTTGGTATATTATTTCAGTTAATTTTCGGTTTATGGTTAATAGGCGGTTACTATATATACGTAAGTGAAAGTGTTCTGTTTTGAAGAAGAAAGCAGCAAACAATTAGATAAGCTTACCTTTAATATCCACTACCTTGAGAACCGTCACATAATACTTAGAATGTCTTTTGCTAATTATGAGCTCGTCAATAGGGAATCGATAGCAGTGTCAAGTTTTGTTAGTTGTGCGCGCCTCAAGAGGCCAGTTGGATATTGGCCTCGGTATCACTTCAGTGCCTCGCAGAGATCACACTTTATCTGATTACTCTTTTCGTTAATTTTGGAAAAATACCATTTCTTCCAGATTTAATTCGATATTTCTGCTTAATAATTCATTGATTGTTGTTTTTCCCTACGTTAAAGCGTACAACATAATCTCGATTGTAAAGAAAGAGTTCGAACATAGCTACCACGATTTATTTTCTATACATTATACAGCTGTTCTTCCTTAAGAAAGCGGCTGACAACTTTAGTCCCTGACTTATATATCTTACAGATACCTATTACATTTTTATGATCTTATGATATTCAAATATCATATAAGTAAATTATAAATTCATAGCAAAGCTTTCGTAGGTGTTTTAGGCGTATCTTTCTACAATCTTTCAAAACTCTATGAACATTTAAGGTGGTTTTATTTAAACATAACATAAGGATATCCATAGATTATTTGGTTGACTCTACGACGTAACTGTAGTAAAAATGCTAGGCAAAAGATAACGAAAGTCACAGGCCGTCCCTCCTGCTGCTACTAGGCCATATTGTATGAATTTCTTAAACCTGCTTATATGCATTCAACTGAAACAAAGGATCTCCACTGTCACCCTTGCAAGCGCTTTGCCATATGCCTAATCTAGCACAGAAGTTGAAAAATATTTTGAACATGGATAGTTAATTACAGATTTTTACTTATTGCGAGCAAATCAAATCCGTCTGGACACTAGCCATGAACTAAGAATTTCGCAAACATGAGAATTGATTGACGGATGGATTTAACTCGATTTAAAATTTAATGCCAGTGAAGAATATACATACTTTGCGGGATCTTTGATGCTTCCTTCCAGGCATTGCAAACGTTTTGACAAAATGATGAGCCGACTAGCTTGAATCGATTCAGGAAGTGCTTCTCAGTAGACATCTGTATGGTTCTAACCGGAGTTCTTTTGATAGATGGGGTATTGTGTAAATCACACAAGCTCATGTAGAGTGGGAAAATTATTTTACCAACTTCTTAAACATTAGATGACAATAAATATTATAGATTATAGAAAGTAAACTTTGGCTAGAGCAGATAGAGAGCAACAAACTTGCTATGTATTTAATAAATAACATAATTAAAACTTATTTTATTGATATTTTTAATTTGATTTTTAGTTGGAACAGACTTTTTCCGCTTTATTAAACTTTTTTTGGATGGGTTACAATGTAAGTTTCATAGGACTCTCGTTATTTTGAATAAATTTTGAACTTGAATACCGATTTTACAATTTACAGATTTACTGTTGGCTTTGTGTATTTTCTCAGTATCAAATCTTTTTGGAATTACAAAATCCCAACATCGAACTACTAATGCCTTAAGTATTAATTTTCATATGTACGTATGTTTTTTTTTATCATAAGTTATATTTAATTAATAAATTATATTTAAAACAATTTTTCATGGGCAAAGCATCCATCCCCTGCTTATCTGTCTACCTAAGCGACAATAAATCAATTTTTTAATCAAATACAAGTGGGAAACTTCGTTTTAGTTGCATAGCAAGGCATCTGGCCGAACTGGCGAAGCAAGCCTTATATAATATTTATATAAATATAATACTTACTTACAATTATGTGCATTTTGTTGCAACGATTAAAACTATCCACGCTTTTTATTCCTGTAAACCGCCCATACGATTACTCACTCGCTAAGAAAGCAGGCTAAAGGCTGAGTTGTTAAAATAACTGGCTTTCTCGCATATAAGGGAAATGTTCTCCTAAGCCTTTACGTCCCTAACTTTTTCGGATCAGTAACCAAAGCAGTATCAAAGGCCTATATAATATGAATTCAATTACGTTATTTTTACAACTTTGAAAGGTACGCTTCGCTATATTGGATGCTCTGTCGGTAAAAGTAACTTTGGCAGCAAACTGGACAAAGGGCCTACCTCTTATTCAATTTTGGAGATTTACCGCAATAACACGCACCTTTGGAAATTATGTTTGCTTGTATACTTCTTTACCTTTTCTCTTCTTCTTCTATTTACGGCAAATAATCTGTTTAACAGAAAATGCGCCCTGTGACAGAAAATTTGTTAATAGCAAAGGCCTTAACGAATAAGTAACGAAAGACGGTTTTAACCGACACGCAAGCAGAATAATGTGTCTCCAAATTTAACTTACCAATACACAAGTACAATCTCTCTCTATGGTAGAGCACCCTTCCAGCTGTGCCGACATCTTCAGCGATGACTTGTGTACTCGTCAAATACTGAGTATATGTAATGAATGGGCTTGAGAATATAACATAAACAGTTTCTTAAGTTATATAATTACGGCAAACATACTTTTAGATCTTATGACAAGGACGGATAGACGGATCATCATAGCTATACTGATTTACAATCCCTTAAAGCAAAATGAAAAATTAAATACACTTGACTTCACTCAATTTCATTTTTTATTTTATTTTTGTCTTTCCTCACTTAAAAATCTGTGATTTGTCATCATTAAAGTGAAAGGATAATTGCACGCTTTTTGCTCTAACAGCCATTTCAGATATATTAGCAACTTGATATAAAAAAAAAAAAAAAATCATTTACGATAAATTTTAATTACATAAATTTTCTGAATGCCAAAGAGAAAAATCGCATAAACAACGAAAAACATAGACATAGAGTTAACATACAGGATCTGGCCTAAATTCGTCCTTAGGTTTAGCGCGATTTCCATCACAAACATTGTTCGATTTCTTTTTTCTTTTTTTTTTCGTGTTTTGCAAATGATGAAAGGGATAAAAGGCGGAATCGAATATTAATTAGCAAATAAACCAAAATAACAGAAATATTTATTAAAATTAAAAGTTAAAAATAACCAAAATTTAATTAAAAGCAAAAAAAAAAAATAATTTATTACTACAATAATAACACAAAAAAAAGTAAAAAGAAATTAAATAAAGCTTACATATAAAAAAGCAAGAATTAAAATACGAGTAATAAAAAATAGAAAAAATATATAAGGAGCGGAAAAAAAGTATTAAAAAAATATAAATACAAAAATTATGAGAACAACGATCAAACAATGAACAAGTTATTAATCGCAAAAAAAAAAAAAAAACAATCACTTGAAAAAATTAATAAATAACAATTTAAAAAAAGAAACAAAAATTGTTTCAATTTTGCGGGAATACTAAAAAAAAAAATTTTTTTTTTCTAACAACTAAAAAGCAGTGTTGAAAATAATAAGCGGTTTTTTTGTTTTAATATTTCTTTAACTTTGCGATTTTTTTTTTGTTTTTTTTAAAGCAGTTTCAAGAAATCTTATCTACTTGGCGTGATCGGGAATTTCGAAGCTAACGTCCATTTTCACTTCACGAGCTAATTCTACGATCTTAGCCAAGTGTACAGCTAAATTGGCAGCTTCATCTAAATCGTGACGAGGTATAATCCTCAATCCAGATTGTCGAATTAATTCACGAGCCTCGTTGACATTGGTGCCCTTTTTTTGTTAAATTTAAAAGAAACAATAATTAATTCATAAAAAATACATATGCTATAAAAAATTGAACTCACCTGCAATCTAACTACAATAGGCATTTGCATATTCAATTCTTTGGCAGCTGCTATAATACCTTCGGCAATGACATCACAACGCATAATACCGCCAAATATATTTACCAATATGCAAAGCACTTTCGGATCGGACGTGATAATCTTAAAGGCTTCCTTAACAGCTTGGGCGGTAGCGCCGCCACCAACATCCAAGAAATTGGCCGGATCACCGCCGTATAACTTAATAATATCCATTGTAGCCATAGC